ACGTGGCATTAAAAAAAATTACTATATAGCTATTTTTAGAAATCTAAAATTTCAATCCAAATGGGTGAAGCGTAGAAATCCAATTCTTAAGCCCCATTGCAGACTGAATCAGAAAGTCTAGGGATAGGACCTATAAGTCTTTATTTCAACAAACCCTTTCTTGTCATGTGGCTTTAGAAAAGCCTTCATCCAGAAGTAGATGGATAGAATTTGAGGTGTATCTCGAATGTAGTAGAATGTGATTCTACAAACTAAAAGTGTTGTCTGGGAAGCAACACTACAGTGATTGAATGGAGGTAAAAATTGTTCTGCCATGTGAGGACAGCCCAGAATTTGACCCATCAAATGGGCCGCGCCAAAATTACACTAACAGAATGAAGAGAATTTAAAAATCAACTTTTAAGAGCCATTTCTTTTTTAGAAGTATTGCTTCTGGTGGCACATGGGAACTTCTGAACTCCAGCTCTCTGAGAATAAACTGGATAAATAATTTGTCTCTCAACATCTCTGTGTTTTCTTTTCAAGGGTTTGGTCTGTGTTGAGTATATGTTGTAGTTTTTGTTTTTAATATGTCAAAGCAAAATAAATTTCATCTGATTTCTTGTCTTCCATGCAAAATTATACTAATTTAATGTAGAAAAGAAAAACAGTAACATTTAGAGCAAGTGGGTTATATTTATATGCACTGTTCTATATTATTATTGCTCCCCTCCTGCTAGTTCTGTTTAAGGAACCCTCTATCTGGCATCACACATCTTAAGAGCCAAAAAATGAGCATCAGTTGCTCTTTGTAACTTTCCTTCAAATGACTGTGCTTTCCTGAGAGGGTGAGGTCTTGTGAGTAAATTATGAAACAATTAGCAAATTCATGAGGATGATGTTTATGAAAGTTTGTGATTGCATGGCCACCATGAAAAGGGTAGGCCTTTTATTTAAAGGTTAATGAAAGCACCTAGAGGAAAACATGCATTATAGCATGTGCCCACTGCTGGGCGGGCAAACCATTCAGAGGAGCAGAATATCCTTTGGTGGGCTGTGTCAGGCTGGGCTAATTTCTGGAATGAATAGGAGGGAAGTAGTCTCTCCTCTTAGACTTTTATCAGGCATTCCAGGAGTACCATAAGGTAAACAAATGCCAGAATACTGTCTTTGACATTTAAATAGTTCCATCCTAAAACAAATGGTCACATAAGTAGCAAATACTGTGCGAATCACTGAGCAAAAAACAAGAAGGAAAAGAAGAGGAAGAAAGAATTTGAAGTAATGTTTTCAAACTTAAGAATATCAAAACTTCCTGGAGGGCTTATTAAAGTAAAGAATGCTGGGTTCGATCCCACGGTTTTTTTTTTTCGTTTTTAATTGAGGATTAAAGGAGATACGGCATCATGTCAGCTTCAGGTGTACAACATACTGGTTCAATACTTGTACATAATGCAAAATGAGCACAATAAATCCAGTTGACACCCAAATGATTTTCAGTTGAACCCCGAACTGTTTTACAGGCCCTACCTGCTTAGACAGTGTCACTCCCCTTTGCTGGCGCTGTCTCAACTCAGGTGCTTAACATCTCTCACCAAGACTATTTTAATTGCCTACAAACCAGTCTCTCTGCCTTTAGCCTGCCCACTTTGTTGGCAATATCACCAGGTAGCTTCTTCTATAATCGGCGTTGACCCTGATGCCCCCCTATTCGGGGGATTCAGGATCACTTTGACCCACCTGCCCTGTGTCTGCGTCTGCTTCTTCAAGCCACGCTGAGAGGCCTGCCCAGCAGCCACCCACCTCCGTCCTCTCAACTTCTCTCGCTGGCTCCTGTCCCTCCTCTTCCTGGAGTTCTTACCCACCTCTCAGGCTGCATAGCTTGACATTTGTCTCCTCCTCCTTCAAAAGCTTGATTCTGAACTGACATTTTTTTCCTTTTGCTCCAAATTGTCACTGAACAAGCAGTCTGCCCTAGTGAGCTCCTCAGAACTGAAACCCTGTCTGGGTCCATCAGTTTGCTGCTGGAGTCCAGCCAGCCAGGAAGATACCAGAATGCTGGCCATGGCACACAGGGGTGTCTTGTGATCTTGTCCCCAGACGCAAACAGCAGACTGGCAGTGCAGTGCACATGCTGTATCTGACTGGTGGGCCTGTTTGGTTTGATCCCATAGAAGGGGAGGTGGAAGACTGAAAAAAAAAAAAACTAACAGATTTCCAACCACATTCTGGACTTCCAGCGTCCCTTGATGACAACTCCCTGGGGCTTTGTGCAGCCAGGAGTGATCCTGCCACCCTAGTCCCCACCTTGCTTCACTCACTCATGCTGTCCGCCTGGCTCTGTCACGTGTGGTCACCGCACTGGGTTTCCAGGCCTCACCTGCCAACGCTGTCCACACATACCGCGCTGTCCTGCTATCCTTTTGGGAATCTCTGAATTGGTGTTCCATTTGCATGCAGTTTCCCCGTATCTTAGCTTACGTCAAATATCAGAAAACAAGCTCAAAATAAGTGCTGGGGATGTAATGTACAGCATGGTGTCTCTAGTTAACGATGCCATGTTGTGTATTTGAAAGTTGCTAATTGAGTAAATCTTAAAAGTTCACATCACAAGGAAAAAAATTGTAACTGTGTGGTGATGGAGGTTAACTAGACTTACTGTGGTGATCATTTCACAGTATATACAAATACCAGATCATTATGTTGCATACCTGAAATCACTGTAATGTTCTATGTTCTTTATATCTCGATAAAAAGAAAAAGGCAAACACACACTAGCAACTAAAGTTACTACGGTTTAAATCTGAAGATAGCCTCTAATTAAAAAAAAAATTAATTTCAATACTTTTTTTTTTAGAGCAATTGTAGGTTCACAGCAAAACTGAGTGGAAGACACAGAGGTTTCCCCAAAACTCCCTGCCCTCCTCTTTTTTATACCCATCAAACTGGCAAAGATTTAGAAAATGGTAATACGCAGTAGTGGAGGGGACACAGAGAAATGGTTGTCTCAGGCCTCCCAGCAGGAGTATAATAAACTGGTGCAATTATTGAGGAGCAATATGACACTTTGTATTACAACCCTTAAAGTGCTCACTTCAGCAACACATACGCTAAATTAGAATGATACAGAGAAGATTAGCAAGGCCCAGTGCATGGATGACATGCCAATTGGTGAAGTGTTCCATTAAAAAAAAACAACCTTAAAAATGTGCACATCATTTGACTCAACAGTTCAATATATTGGGATCTGTCCTACGGAAGTTATTTGTTAATTATATTTGGGAGGCAGTGTAATATAGCAGTTAAAAGGAGAGACGCTGAAGCTGGCCTGGGTTCAAAAACCTGTGAAACCACCGACAGGCTAGCTAATGTCTCTGTTCCTCTCTGTAAATAAGGGTAGAAGGAGTAAATACACCTTATGGAGTTGATGTGAAGTACATCACATACTTAAAGCACTCCGAATGGTGCTTGGTACATACTAAGTGCTGAGAAATATCAGTCATCATTAATTACCAACTTTATTAATAAAACAACTATTACTACCAATGACACCTCTTAAGTGCCCATGATTTAAGGCTTTGCTAAATAAGTTATAGTGCATTCAAATAATGGTATGCTATAAAGCTATTATAAATTATGGTGAAGAATTCTTCATAACATGGAAGAGCTATGACATCCTGTTAAATGAGGAGTACCAGTTATAAAAACAGACAGGCATGTAAAAATGTTTTATATGAAATCAATGGCTGAAAGAAATATAAAAATACCAAACAACCCAGTAACTCCACTCCTAAGAATGTTCCTCATTTTTTGACCACTGAGGGGTAGACAACTATTTTAGAAATTGCTTAACGACTTTTACTTTGCAGCGTTTCCACCAAGAGGCAAAGAATGTTTCTCCACCCCTTGAATCCGCCCTTGGCCATGTGACTTGTCAATGGGACTTCAGTAAATACAACACAACCAAAGACTTAAAAACTGGTCATTGATGAGGGTTTGCCCTCCTGAATCACCAAGTGAAACCGTCGGAGCCCTTGGGGGCCACGTATGGAGAACCCTGGCGCCTGGAGGTGATGCGCCCCAGCCCACCCGGCTCTAAGGGGGCTGGCCCTGGTCAGAACTCACAGGACCAGGAAGAACTTTCTTCAAGCCACCAAGCTTTGGACATTCTTTTTCTGCCAGCAAGATTTTAACTGATTTTTTTTTTAAGTAGTTATCAGGTGCAGATAAGGAATGAATGAGAGCCAAGTCAACACGATAATCAATTGTCGTCTTCATTTTCAACTCAAATTCTAGCCTTTATCTGTATCAGTGTTCCTCATTCTGGCTACACACTAGATCACCTGTGAACTTTTTAGACCTACCAATCATTGCGCCCCATCTCCTTGGCATTCTGAATCAAGAGTGAGGCCCAGACATTGGTATTTCTAAAAATGCCCTACGTAACTATAAAGGGTAGCCAGTGTTAGAACACCTGTTCTTCACAGAGTATTTGAATGACCTTCCCTTTATAAAAAGGGTAATACTTTTTAGTTTCTAAAACAGCAAAGAGTGTGCCTCAGTATGGAGAGATTTTATTTTTCACTGAATATGGCAACTTCAAGTTTCAGAGATATTGAAAATACAGAAAAGCTCAAGAAGAGAACTGTTTATTTTCCAACTCCCTCAAATTAGCTAGTGTTAAGGATCATGGCACATTTACCTTGTGAACCTTTGTTTTTCTTCTTAACAATATAATTATAATTTATGAAAAACCGAACACTTGTTAGTAGATTAAAAAGATGCAAAGAAGTGTAAAGAACAGAAATGAAAGTTTGAAGAAAAACACAAAACACTACAAAAATATTATACCTACAAGTAATGATCATTAAGAAAACATTTCATCAAACATCTTTTGGTACAAAGAAATACTTCCATGTCACTGTAAGACTACAACATAGACATTAACTAGTTGACTAACCTATATTCAATATAGATTGCAAGTAACCCTTCACAAGCAGCCTTTACCATGGAGAGATAGGGGTTGGGTTTCCTTAAGTGAGCTTGGGCATCCCTTTATGCACATGTTTACCACTTTCATAGGTTTATTGGTTCAGAAACCTGTTTCCTAAGAACTTAGGTTTCATTAGATGCCAGAAACTCAGGAGATTCTGTTGATATTAGCAGCATGTGAATGTCAAGTGGTAAGTTTTCTCTGTGATCTCTTTTAGATGTGTTTGTTCATAGCTTGAATTAGGTATTTGCATTTCAAGTGGCATTTTCTAGATTTTATGTGACTGTTTGAAAAAAGAAGTATTTACAATATTGATTTCCCTTCCCACGCCATTACGGGGAAAGGGATTTCATGACAGAGCCATTCCTTATTGAGATCAATAGAACACAGCACGGCCTCCACGGCTTTGCTTGTTGTCTGGGAAAAGTCCTTAATAACTCTTAGACAGATTTTCCTCTTGCAGCACACACGGCCTTCCTCACCTTCAAAACAAGGTACCAGGCTACACCCAGCTGGATGTAAATCAAGAATTCATTCTCAAGTTGTAAAACATCCCCTCCAATTCCATGTAAGAGCAGCCAAGAAAAAATAAATCACGCTTACTTAGCACTCTTGTCTAATCTTAACCCCTATTTACAATCCAGGATGGATCCATAGGAGCTGAAGGTCAGTGGCAAATTCCACTTGTGCACGTACCGGGGTGTATACAGGTGGCGAGTTCTGGGAACTAAGTGCCTCTCTATAGCAAGCCCAACCCCTTACCCGGAACAGCAGAACTAATTCCTCTGTTTATACAGAAATATCTAAATAAACTTTAAAAAGAGCAGAGACATGAGAAAAAGTCCTGAGGTGTGCCCAGGATCTGTGGTTTTTAGAAATACAGGTAGGCGTAGCATTTCTTCGGGAAGCATCTATTCAACCAGACCATTTGGAGGAAAAGCACAGGGCTACATTTCGAAGTTACACAGCGACAAAAATACAGGCGATGCCAGTTCATGGGTCGGGATAGCTGTCCCTCTCGGAAGTGACGCAGGGGGCACGAGGAGGCCCCCCGAGTCCTGCAGTGACTTGGCTTCCGGCCTGCGTGCTCACGTAAGGCTCAGTTTGAAACCTCACGGACCTCTTCGATTCTGGTATGCGCGGTTTCCCGTACATATGTTTCAATAAAAAGTTGAAGAAAGCTGGAGAGCAGGTAGGAAGGTGGTATTTACATAAACTGGCAAAGGAAAACAAGGGACTTCCAAGAAACGCTGGCCCCTTCCATTCATTCCTTGCCCATGTCCGCTTCTCCTCCCAGGGTCCGTTCAGGGATCACAGGGCCTCAGGACCCATTTTTCAGGTTTTGAGGCTTTTGCCATTAAGAACTTCACTACTACTGGTATGTTTACTTGTGCCACAGTCACTCCAACATTTGAGAAACTCGGTCATGGACATCTTCAGATCAAGACCAGTGACAAACATACTCAGTTTGTAGGAAAAAATAAACCTGTGAGCCACCTGCACACCCAGCAGGTCTGTGTGCTGATGAGAGAACGCAGCGGCGAGGGTGTCACGTGCTCACCGCACTGCTCCTGTATGACAGGACTGATCGGGACTCAGGATGGGAAGTTCTGAGAGTCTGCCACCTGCGCCTTTAGAACAGAACTGGAAGGTGGTGTTGGTTATTCCTACTCTTCCACCTGAATTTGTGATGTTCCCCCTATTTATTCTGCGTCACAGACACTGTCAAATCAAGAGTAACAAAATCATGCCAAGTTGAAGCTTAATAATGATGTAACTATGCAATGTATTTACATTTAGTTTATCATCCCAAATGAATACTATACTAGAAGACCCTACTTTTCAAAAAAAATAATAAGCAGTCCAACTGATTCTATTACTTATTAAAAGTTATAAATAACACGAGAAAAGAAAAATTAGCCAAATGGAACCAACATTCAACAGATATCCACCTGCTAGAGGATCTGTAAGAAACCCTCCCATTCACCTTGGAACACACAGAATGAAGAATAAGAAGCTGCTTTCCCAGACCTCAAAGACCACATACTCTACGATACCATGGTTATGACACTCTGGGAAAGGCAAAACGGCAGGGATGGAGAACAGGTCAGGATTTGCCGAGGGTTTCTTTTGGGGGCAGGGGCTGCTTTCAAGGAGCACCATGAAGGAATTTTTGGAGGTGCTGGAATTGTTCTTGATTGTGGTGGATGCATGACTCATGCCGCTGTGAAAACACATGGGACTGGACACCACTGAGAACGAATTGTACTGTGTGTGAATTTAAAAATAGAAAAGGAAACTGCTTCAAATTCTGCAACAATGTACGATAGAATGGGTCTCCTTCATGGTAAATGGATACATTTTTAAATTCTATTTCTTTTTTATGGCTGAATGATCTTTCTGTGTGTGTGTGTGTACACACATCTTTATCTAGGACACTTAAGTTGCTCCCCTATCTTGGCTATTGTAAATAATGCTGCGATCAACCTAGGTAAATCTCACCATTTGTAACAACACAGATGGACTCAGAGGGTACTATGCTAAGTGGAATAAGACAGAGAATGACAAATTCTGTATGATTTCAGTTATATGCGGAATCTAAACAAAACAAAACAGAAACAGAAACAGACTCGTGCGGGGGAGGGAGATGGGTAAAATAGGTAAAGGGGGTGAAGAGTTACAAATTTCTGGTTATAAAATAAATGAAGTCACAGCAATGAAAAGTATCACATAGGGAATATGGTCAATAATATTGTAATAACTCTGTACAGTGACAGATGGTAACTACACTTTAATGTGGTAAGCATTTTGTAATGTATACAAGTATCATTTTGTAATGTATACAATTGTCAAATTACAACTTGTACACCTGAAACTAATATAATATTGTATGTCAACTGTACTTCAAAACTTTCTAAAATTCTATTCTGTAGAATACCTACAGAATTTTCATTTGAGAAATATTAATATTCATTATCTTTTGAAAAAATAAATCCCAAACATTACTTACAGAATCCTGTCATTAAAACTCAGCTTTCAGTAATTAGAGAACACAGGTACTAAAATGTTGTTACTGTCCTTTTGCTCCAACAGCCAGAGTATTTCTGTGGGAAGTACTAAGTACACCAAGACTACTGTATTATGACTTAGAAGTCCCATCTTTGGGACCCAGTTCAGCTGCTAAATCATAGGGGCCCA